TACAGTGTTAACATCCATCACATGATCAACTAGAGGTGCCAGACATTTACAAATTTGTAGATTTCCAAAACCCTATCTCATAACCAGTAATAACAAGGAGGACTTTGCTAACCAGACGCTTCCTCTGTAGCTAAATGGTATAGCATGTCAGGCCAAATGACAATTCTGTGTAGGATACAGGTTTGATGCTTGTCAGTGGACACATATTTTCTACAAAATTTCTCAGACATTCAGGATGTAAATGTAATTAATATTGTTTATTATAAACAGAGCATTTACTTAATTGTATCTATAAAAATAACATATAAACAGAAAAAAAAAAAATATATATATATATATATATATAAAAAGATGATTAAATCATATTGCAATTGCTTTTTACTGATTCTTCTATGTGCCATGTCCCTTCGAGATGTGATGGCTCTCCACAACTTCCTATCTTTTGTAGCTCAATGTTTGTTTCCATACTATTACACCCACTTCATGTTCTGGCATCTGTTTACACAAGCTTGTTAGGTATGTTACTTGAGGTTTCTCTCTGCACCTCATGCCTTTAACATGTCCTATGAGTGTTAAGTTTTCCAAGCCCTCTTTCCTCATTATGTACCCCTGAAATTTCAACTGTCTCTGATCCTCTTTATTGGAGTGGAAAAAATACACAAAGTAAAAATTTTTTATTTAAAGCTAAACCTGTTATTGTTGCTGTTTTGCTTTTAATCTATGTAAATATAGAATAATCAGTTTATAAATTTACAAAATAATTTTTTCCAATTTTATTTAAAACCTGGTTAATGCTTTCCTTTTTAATATAGTAATGATAGTTCAAGTTTAAAATCTATCTAATTATAATTATTTCATTAAAGTATTTGAATGGGTTAGCAATATCATTTCATCATTTAATTATGAAACAATTTGACCTGATTTACATTTAGACTAATATCCTCATCTTTGTAATCATCGCAATGTTTCAGCTGTTGTCCCGCCTTCCCTTCTCCAAATTTACAAATACTTTAATCCACTAGACATAGTAATTGTGAGTTCAATTCCTGAGCTGGGTATTACAAACATAAACTCATTGGAAACAAGGTAATAATGAGATGTTCCTAGACATGGACAGTGATATGAGAACAATCTACACCCATAGATTAAATATAGGGTTCTGTTTGAAATTTCCCAAAGGTTACCTGGAATGAAAGACATCTGAAGAAGGCTGGAGAGTACAATGGCCAAAATGTCATGATAACAACAAAGATAAGGAAATTAGTTCAAAATTCAGACAGTAATTTGACTGTATTCTTTAAAATTGTTAACTGAGGATATTTTAGGGTATTGGTAGCAATTATTTGCCTTGATGTACAAGTCCATGTCTGTAATCGGGCTCGGAATGCCCACATTAAAAAGGCCTTGTGCCACATGACACCCTCGTGGGCGGGTGACTGAATATCGTCCATGTCTGTAATCGATCCTATTTGCATAATAAAAAGATTTTAAATCTCTTCAAATTACCTCTTTCTGATAAACTAATCCTGCTTCATACATTTTGAGAAATATGTACTGAGTCCATTTATAGTAGGAAGAATCACAACTGGAGAATTCCTGTAAATGAAAAGAAGAAAAATTAAAGACACAAAAAAGACAGAAGTGTTTACTCTACAGATTAAGCTGAAAACTGTCCACACACTTTAATGTGCAATATTTTGAATATAAAACATCAGTGAAAACAAGGAAACATGTAATGCTCTCATGTATTTTGTAACATTTATTCTAAATGACAAAATTATTAAAGAAAAAAAACATCAGTTATTAAGAAAAATAATATACATCAGTTATTAAGAAAAAAATAATACATCAGTTATTAAGAAAAAAAATACATATAAATTTGGTGGAACATAATCATATAATGAGGTTGGTTGGTCGATTTTGTTTAGAGGCACATCACCACTTCCATGAGTTATTTAATGCTGAAATCTTAATATTTTGTATGCAATTTTATTTATTTATTTATTTTTTTGGAGATAATGGTTTAGTGTTGAGATGTTGTGAGTTTCCCGCGTGTCGGTGTATGAATTAAGACAAACACAGTTGTAGAGGAAAATACTGGTATATTCATAAACGCAATTAACAATAGAGTGATTAATAGAACGAAGGTTGGTTAGTATGAACAATATCAAAAGTCTATCGTCCAACGGTATGTACCGGGTAAGCTTATCTGGACTGCTCACGCTGACTCTCTCTCTCTGACGCTCCCCCACTCTCTCCAGAGCTGACTTATATAAGAGGGACCAGTCCATTCCTAGTTAGAAGGTGGGTGCGCCCCAACATTTAGTGTTACGTCTTACTAATTAACCCATAGCTGGGGGAGTTGGGGGGGGGAGAAGAAGTGCATTCATACTTTTTCCAATGGTATTTACAAATTTGGAATTCAGCTCTTCGATTAACAATTCCAAGCCATTATCCATTACACCGCCAGCACAACTAAGCTTACAGCACCTGATACATCACCCATCTAAGTACTGAGCAGGCTCGATGTTGTTTAACTTTGGTGATATGATGTGGCTGTAAGTTCATATAATGAGGGTATATGCATGTATTTAGATATTTTGAGATGAAATTTGATTCAGAGAGCATCTAATAAGGAAGTAACTAGCTTGTTAGAAAGCAGTTTCATCATTTTTGTTTTGTTTTTATGGCTTATCAACCCATTGCAGGTTATTTAAAGCCAGAAAAAAAATTTAAATTGAAAGAATATTTTTGCAGATAATAATGATTTACTGATATGTCCTACTAATTAGCCCATAGCTGGGGAGGAAGAGGTGGATTCATACCTTTCCCAAGGGTATTTTCATGTAAGTGAATATAACAAAACTGACTGGAACTTGGTTCTGATTTCCAATTTTGAGCCATTATACATTACACCACCTGCTTATCCAAGCTTACAACACCTGGTATTCCCAAGAGGCTGCCCATCTAAGTACTGTCCAGGCTCAACATTGCTTGACTTTGGTGATTAGTACAAGAAGCAGGTTTCACCATCCTATCAATTAATATATGGCCAATGATATGATGTGTGTGTCTATATATATATATATATATATATATATATATATATATATTGCGTATATTTTGGCAGCATGTTTTCATTAACACATGTCTCATTAAATAATTTACACAAGTTTTCTCTACCTATTTTCAATAGGATCCTGACATATTCATGAACAAACTTTGTAGTATCCTTATTAAAGGAAGAGACAAAAATTACCACGCTGATACATATTCACTTATTACGAGTACTTTTGACATTAGCACAATGTCATCATCAGGGTGTTGTTTTTTTTTTCTAGGACAAAATTGTTGCGTTCATCTGAAAGTTAAATTTTTTAACTGTGTTTTTCACGCTAGTACTGTACGGTTTTAGATTCTTTTGAGTCTTTGCATATTCTCAGCATTGGAAGCTCTCCTGGCTGCTGTTTGATCTGGGTTTTCATTTGCACAGGACTTTCTTTTCCTCACTGCAACCTTGGCTCTTTTGATTGCAATTTGGTCCTTTTTTGGCAGAGAGTTCTTTTTGCAAAGCATACTGCTGCCATATGCCAAATGCAACAATAAACTGCAGAACTCAAAACTGATTGCTGCATTTAAGTATTGCATTAATATTCAAGCTTACCTTTTAAAAGTTTAATGATAATTCTTCTGCTGCCACTTAATTTAAAGAAATTAAAGTAGGTCCTTACTTTCTATACAAACAATTATTTTTATTTCATGCGTGGCTTTCACTGGATTTTGCAATTAATTTCAATTATTCCCAAATTTATTTCTAAGTTATAAAAATTGTTATTCTACAAAAAAATTTGTTGCAAAGAATTGCCGAAAACAATTGCAGTAATAAAAACTTGGGAATCCAAAATTTCAGAATTGCGGGTCTGGCTCAGACCCAGGATGTTTTTAATTTGCTCAAGGAGTCAGCCTGATTCCAAAATGGTATGATATGTTGGGCTACTGTCTCTAGATGTAAAGTTGAAAATGTGTGACACACTGACATTCGCATATCTTATATATATATATATATATATATATATTATATATATATATATATATAATTATTTATTTAAAAATTATAACATAAACATGTTATAAAATCACTACAAAAATAGCCATTTTGTTTCAACACCTCTGTTGAACATCATCACTTGATAAGACACCAGAGGTGTTGAAACAAAATGGATATTTTTGTAGTGATTTTATAAACATGTTTATGTTATAATTTTTTAAAATTATATTTGCTCTACTCTTTATTGAGCACTCTTTTAAAAATAGTAATTGTTGGTTATTGGAATTTATTCGATATACACCAATCCTATAATTGGGTATATATATATATATATATATATATATATATAACATAAAAACAAGTACCTATTGAAAAAAATAAAAATGGGATGATGATTGATAATGCTACGATGCTTTAAGCATTTTACCCATTCCTGCTTACTAGTTCCTTGATCTTAAAATAATAAACAAAATTCAGTTTCAAGAAATGATGTTATTATAAAAGCATAGGCACTAAAAGATTTACATTCACGTTATAAGATTTCCAATTTGAGTATGAGAACCTTATAAAGAACTTACCCTTTCCCAGTCAAAACTGCAACAAAGATCTTCAATTTGTTTTTTCATACTTTTGATATTACTGCAAATAAAAAGAAAACAGGTTTAATCATTGGATTGGATTGATTTGATTTTTTATGCCTTATCATCCTTTTGCAGGTTATTTAAAAGGCAGAAAATATTTTTAGATTGTAAGAATTTTGTTTGGGGGGGGGGAATAATAATGATTTACTGTTACACGTTCTACTAATTAACTCATAGCTGGGGGAGAACAGGTGAATTTATACCTTTCGCAAGAGTATTTGTATATGAGTGAATATAATAAACCTAAATGGAATTGGAATGTGGCTCTCAAATCTTGTGTTGTTATCCATTATACCACCTGCACATCAAAGCTTACAGCACCTGGTATTCCCACATGGTCACTCATCTAGATACTGACCAGGCTTGACATTACTTAACTTCAGTGATCATACAAGAACTGGTATTTCAACATGATATGGCCATAAGCTCAGGATTAATGAGTTTATTACACTTAAGATCAATTTGTTGAAAATAAATTAATTGTGAAATTCAGCCTCCTTTTTAAAGTTTTTCTATGTTATGTTTTATGAGCATTAACAAAGGTCAGGACTGATTGTTTTTTTTTTTTTTTTTTTTACAGCTTATCAACCTTTTATAGGTTATTTAAAGCCGAGACATTGATTTGGATTGTCAGAATAATTTTTTTTTTTTTTGCTAGTGAATATTGTATTAAAAATTTTTTCAAGATAATAATGATTTTCAGATACCAGTTCTACTATTTAACTCTCAGAGGGGGGAAGAAGAGGTGGATTCATGCCTTTCCCAAGGGCATTTGCATGTGAACTTGGCTCTTCAATTTCTCATTCTTTTATACAATTACATCACCTGCACATCCAAGCTTACAGCATTTGGTGTTCCCAAGCAGCCATACATCTAGGTACTGACCAAGCTTGATATTGCTTAACTTAGGTGATCAGACAAAACAAGTGTTTGAACATAATATGACCATAAGCCATGAAGGTCACTATCTTTTTGACTCATGAAACTGTCACACACATTGGGGTACAATTAGCAACATCATAAGCATAGATGAGATGCTATGTCCGACAATGTTAACAGGGACACCCTGGTGGCTCTTCTGCTCTCATATTCCAAATGTTAAAGAATACTGAACTGACCTGCTGCATATGTGTTTGGTACCTCCTGTATGGAATGATTTGAGCCAGTATCATTTGTCTATTACTGCAGACAGTTCTAGCTGACATGATCATTAAGGACCCGGAATTGGCTACTGCTCTGTCTTCACTGTCCAGTAATGTCTTCTGTCAAGTATTCCCATATAGCACTGTAGATCAAGGATTGTGAAATGCACCCACAATTTCAAACCTGGAATATCCCATTCATCTGGTACTTTTCTCTATTTGAACTCTGATAATTCATGTTACCTTGTTATGAGCAGCCTCACCAATGTTCACACTGACTCACCAGATGGCAAAGCACAACTGATATAGGGCTGAACATTTCTATAAATGTAGAGTGGCACCACCGACCATTATCTTCACACACTGTTATCCCATGACTTCTGGCATTTCAGCATATTTTCTTGGGACAATTAGGATTGAAAGAGTTAAGGTGGACAGTGATTTTACTAAAAGTAAAACTATTGCTACTGCATTGATTTAAATCCTTACTGAGGGCCCCACAATTGTGGCTTTGTGTCATACTATGTTAAGTTTAGTAACTATCAATATATGAGCATCTAACAGGAAGGTTATATATATATATAAAAACATATTGACACAGCCAAAACAAAATGAAATGAAAACAGAAGACTCTTACCTGTATGTCCATTTGGCTGGGTGTTCACCCCTTTCGATTGCAGCATTCTCAGCGGGAAGACCAAATGCATCCCAGCCCATTGGGTGTATAACCTGTCAAAAAACATATACAAGAATCAAAGTCAACTTTGGGATACATATAGCATCACATGCACACACACTATATATATATATATATATATATACAGTGTGTGTGCATAATAATGAAATTTATTTTTAATCTGACATATTTGTATTATTTCAAACATTATTTTTAGTCAATACCCATATTTACCCATATTTGAGTAGACATTCTGTTCAAGGGACACAGGTTTGAATCATGTCAGAGGGTACATATTCTTTATCAAGATTCCTCAAGTGTGTAGAAAAAAATAAAAATTGTTTTTAAAAAAATTGGAGTGTCTACTCAAATACGGATATCCACTAAAAATAACATTAGTAGTAATATATATATATATATATATATATATATATATATATGAATAGAGATGTGGTATGGAGCAAATGTGGATTAGAATTCCAAAAAATTATAATTATGACATAAGGAATAAATAGGAAACATTTCTTTTTAATTTGACATGTTTCACCTCATTTAAGCTTCATCAGAAAATGAAATAGAGAGGAAAAAAGAAAATTATGATATTTTTATTTTTGCGTTGCTTGATTTTTCATTGGTTAAATAGATCACACTTTTTTTTAATCTTATTCGCTTTTGTGTGTATATGTATCATAATTTTAGATGTCTGTGTATGTTCTTAAATTATTGATTTTATAAAAGTTGGTAATATAATAAAGTGTGTTTGGTGTGTGTTTATTGATGGGAAGATATTTATCAGGATACCTTCTAAGTATTTTCTACATAATAAATTGCGTTATTTTCTTATCAGGGTAACATTTATTAAATAAAAGCCATGGCCTGTCTTATTTCTGTGTGTTACAAACAAATTTAAAGTGTTGTCCTAATACAAGTCTCTTTCATGTTTGTAGATGTGGGCTTTCAAATTTCTAGTTTTGCCAATATACCTCTTCTGGCACTGCTGCCATTTTAGACTGTAAATCCCAGCATCTGATGTAGTGTTGATTTATGTTTATAGCTAACTAAATCTTTGATTGTTTTGGAAGTGGTGATAATGATCTTAGTGCTGGGGATAACTAGTTTGTTCCTGATAAAGTGTTGGAGGGTAGGATAATGATGTGTTTTGTCCTTTAGGACTTCATCAGACTAAAGTGATGTTTACATTTATGTGACACAAACAAGAGATGCTGAGAATTTTAAATTTAAAAGTATTTTTTTTTATTTTTTAAATATGTGTTTTGGATATAAAATTGAGCTGATTTCATTTGAGTTCTTTTTCTTTTGTTTATGTTTCCATCACTTTTGTTATTAAATATCCGACATTGTGATAACAAGATGTGCCAAGAATGGTGAAATATTCTAAGAACCTGGATGCATATTTACTGTGGATGATCTAGCAATTAAAGCGCTCACTAAATATTTCCATCTTAGTAAATTGTTTTCTCATTTAATTATAGCAGCATTTTTTAAATTAAAACTGGGTCAGTCTCATTAGGGTGAACAAACATATTAAAAAAAAAAAAAATAATATTTTTAAATTTAAAATTCTCAGTGACTCTTGTTCCTGCACATGAGTATTTGGATGAACCAAAACATAAACTTAGTCCGATGAAGTCGTAAAGGATGAAAAGCACCATGCAAAAACTTTTTCCACTTCATAAATGGGATATCATCTGTCAGTTTCAAACTCCCAACAATTTCTGGTGTAGAGCCAATCTATGCATACAGGAAAAAATTCTAAGAATTAAATGCAAAAATGCTGGCCAACTGTTGAACCAAAGAAATTAAATTATTTTCAAGTGTTGACATAAAAACAAAATTCAAATTACCCTAAAAACATTGACTGCAGGAAATGCACTTGTGACTTTGGTTCTTATTGAATATGGGTACAAGCATATATGTGTACATATGCTTGCATGTATGTGCTTGTCACACACACACACACACACACACACATATATATATATATATATATATATATATATATATAAAAATGGGTCTGTAAATGTATTTGATTATTTATGTGATTATCATGCTGATGCCTACATCATATATATTTATTATCTTTACCATATATATTATTTTATAATATTATTGTAATTTTTAAAAATTTTTTACTAACTTATTATTATCTGTTTTTTATTTTTATTTATTATTGGATCATTATTATGATTATCTTGATGTTTTATTATTTATTATGATATTTTTTGTTATATATAGATATATATGTAGGCTCCTCCGGTTTTTCACAGGAAAATAGATGGCGTAATGAAAAAGGCCTAAACTTAATGAAAATAAAGTTTTATTGTCAAAATGTTTATGTTATTATTAAGATGAAAGATCAAAGCATTTCTGAATTATTTTTTGAAATTTTTAATCCTTTCTAACATGTTTGAAATTTTGGTTAAAGTCTTCTTTTGTTTACATCATTGCGGTGACATGAAAATAACATTGCTTTTTTTGCGCTTTTTTTTCCGTTGAAAACACATTGATTTGGAAATTCTTGTAAAAATCAAGTAATTGTCCGATTTTAATGAAATTTTCAGGACTTATTCACAAATGAATAAAATTATTTTTTAAATGTTTTTTTTTTTTTTTAAGAAAACTTTGGTAAAAAATATTTTTTTTTTAAAATATGTTACGCCCCACTTACTTAATTCCATGAAATTTCACACAAAACCTTTCTATTTCCTGAAAAGTAGGAGTCTTTGGAGATTGTATTTGTGAAAAGTAGGAGTCTTTGGAGATTGTAAATCACCTACTTTTTTTGTTTCAAATTTGAGCTATCTAACTGAAAATCTGCTCTGAATTGAAAAATAATGAATCCAATAAAACAACATTACTTAATTAAGGACATTATTGTCTGAAGAAATAAAATTTTTCTGATGAATAATGAAGTTTTACAAGAATTTTTTCATTTTTTAAAAAAATTTAATTATAATAATTTATAATAGTTTAAAATCGTGTAAAATTCTGTACTGGGCTATTTCCTGGATGTGATATAGTAATTAAGTGGAAACAAAATTTAAAAATCCAAAATTGAAAAGATTAATCAACTTAGTTGAGCTATTCTATTTTTAAAATTATTTTTTATTTTTTTTTACTTAATACATTCATTATTTTTATGTACGGTAGACTGAAATTGCTAAAAGTTTTGTCCCTTTATTATGTCGCTTCAGTTACGTTTCAACAGGTTTTCAAAATTTCTATCCAGCTTTAAAAGTTTATATATATATATATATATATATATATATATATATATATATATATATATATATATATAAAATATAAAAACAATAAATATCAGTTATAGTATGAAGCCAAAAATACTGTTGGTCAGTGGGATACTGAGAGAAAAGACATTTAAGGCAAGCAGTGTTTTTCAATAAAATGGAATAATACAAGTTTTTCACTTAACTGATTGATGTTACCTTCAGTATCCCAACCAGAGATTCATGGACAAACCCTCTGGGAATCATTCCGTCCATTTGACAGAAGGTATCAGCAATAGATAGAAGGATTTCCGGAGGATCCATCTATGAAACTCTATAGTCAGGATACTAACATCCAT